TGCAGCCGCGCCCGCCGCAGTCATCCTTTCGACTAGCCGAGAGGGTGTGTCAGCTCGTCCTGGTCTTCTCCATCAGCTTCGCGGCCATGTTCATGATGATGACCAAGATTTCGCCCGGCAAGTGGCCTTTGACGGAGCCGTCAATAAGCAAGCCAAGACTCAAGGTGTCGGGCCAGCGCGACTACCTCATTGCCATCTTCTCCGATCTGCACTACGGAGAGCAGGAATTTGGCTGGGGCATTGACCAGGACAAGAATTCCACCAGAGTCATGCAATCTGTCATGAAGAGCGAACAGCCCGACCTCGTCGTATTCAACGGCGATCTCATTACTGGCGAGGATACCCACAAGGAGAACTCGACGCTCTACATTGACCAGATTGTCGCGCCCCTCCTCAAGACGAACCAGCGGTGGGCATCCGTCTACGGGAACCACGACTCCAAGCACACGCTGGACCGCGAGCAGCTGTTCCGTGCCGAAAAAGGCTACGACCTCTGTTACACAACGTCCATGGGCGATAATCTCCCGGGCATCACAAACTACTACGTCCCTGTCTACGAGGGAGACTCCAAGGACCCCATTCTGCTATTGTGGTTCTTTGACAGCCGGGGCGGCACTAGCTACCAGACGGATTCCGATAACATGGACGACATTCCAAACTGGGTTGCCCCCGAGACGGCCGAATGGTTTACCAAAACCTACGACGACCTCAAGGACAAGCACGGCCGTGTCATTCCCAGCGTCGCCTTTGTCCACATCCCCCCTCACATCTTTTTGACGGCCCAGCAGACCAACCTCGACCCCGCCAAGTTCCCTGGGTTGAATGCCGACAGCCCGCTAGCCATCCAAGGCGAGGGTGGAGAGGACGCCCCCTTCGTCGAGGCGCTACTCGAGGCCGAGGGTCTCCACAGCATCTATGTTGGGCACGACCACGGCGACTCGTGGTGCTCGACCTGGCCCGGCCACGACGCCGGACTCGGCGCCGAGGCCCCATTCCTCTGTTTTGCAAAGCACACGGGCTACGGAGGATATGGCACCTGGGAACGCGGCGCTCGGATGATTAAGCTCTCCTTCACGCAGGGCGACGACCCAGACATGTCGGTGGAGAGCTGGGTCCGCATGGAAAACGAAGAAATTATAACGCGCGTAACACTCAACGAGACCTACGGCCAGGACACTTATAATGGGGAGTAAACTCAACACACACACACATGGGTGGGGATGCACATGCGACAGAATGTCCGAATGACGGCTTTATCCTGCATACTCTTTATTTGGCACCGGCAGAGCTATGCCATGTCCCGCTCCGTCGCACTGACTGGTCTCAAAAGCAAAACATGCGTGGCAAGCAGTCGTCCCGAAGGATGCTGTGCACGCTGTGCCCCATCACTCCATTCCTGCACGCATTCCTCTAGGCTCGCAGGGAAATTGCAGCATTCGCCCTGCGGTCAGCTGCCGTCAGCCAGCCCTTGGCGACCGTGCAAACGCCTCGCGGCAAACTAAAAAGGCGCCAAACAGCCAATTGAGCAATCATGGCAATTGCCATAATACGATTGTGTCTTCCTTCGTCTGTTGTTCCTCGTCCTTTCTATTTCCAAGAAGGACAGTCACGATGGACAGGAATCAGACTCGGACAGAAGGACCGCCGCCGAGATACACGGCTTCGAAGCCGGTCGACATGTCTCGGCAACCGCTGCGATACGCTCGCCGCCCGATTTACATACTCGTCACCTACTTGGTGCTTCTCATCGCACCATGGCTCTGCGTTTGCGTTATTAACCGAAAAACGACATCCGACCCGTGGGGGATCATTATGCGGCAAGACCTCGACTCATATCACCGTTGGATCGCTGCGGCTTCGTTTTTCAGCACTGTGGCGGCTGTTATTGCTCTGCCGTGCGTTGCCGCGCTGTTGGCCTACGGCGCAGTCGTCTTCTCACAGCGCCGATCAAAGCAGCAGACCCTGACCGTGAGGCAGCTGCTTGCCATTTCCGACTTGAAATGGACAGCGTTTGTCTCCAGCGGGCAATCGTCTTCCTATCTCCTGCTGGCCACCGGACTGCTTCTTCTCAGTACGTTACAAGCCTTTTGGGGGTGGCTACTCCGTCTAACATGCAACAGCTGCCGTGCAGCCACCACTACAGTCACTGCTGATGCCGCCATCGAGCCGCCCAGTGTACTCGTGCGACAGTCTCCGACCATTGAGCAAATGGGACAGAACATGCGACGGCAAGGGACAACCGGCCCAGACAATTGGCAAAGATGCCGAGCCCGTCTTGCTCCGAGAGTCCAATGCATCTCAAATCGTCAACACAGTCAGAACGAAGATGGTCAACATCACGTCAGCCGACATCCAAGAAAACCTGTGGCGAGTCGACGACAACCACCGGAGCTTCGTCACGGGAGAGGACCAGACGTACAACGACTCTTTCTGGGTATCAGCAATTCCCGCTGGCGTCACTACGGGACCTCTCCGACAGCACTCAATTCGGCTCAGCTCAACCGCAGCTTGCCAGGTTGCAGATGAGTACCCCGCCAACTGCGACGGGTATGCAACGTCCCTCCAAGGCTTCGGCATCAGTGTGAGAACGTGCATGCCTCGCAATACCACCAGCTCTGCACCTCGTGGGGTTCCCCCGAGGCGACGCCAAGACGTCCATGAAGTGCTTTACATTGACGCGCAGATTAGTCCAGAGGCGGCAAAGACCCAGGACTTTTTATCGGAACCGGCTCAAAACGTCACCATCAAGTGTGTCGCCAAAACCAGCCGTGCCTTTTTCGAGATTGGCAACCTTCAAACGGGACTTGTTCCATCCGACATCATCAGCGAGTGGCCCTCGGACGAAGACATGGCAGCGCATTTCCACGACTACGATTGGCAGGGTAACCTCATCACCAACGAGTCTGGAGACGACTGGAACCGCGACCGATTCTCCGGCTGGACATCTGCACAAGGTCCGTTGCGGTCAACAGCCGAGGCGCTCTTTGGAAACGGCTCATACCCACAGGCTGTACTCGATCTTTTGAGTCAGACCTTCCCGGATGGCCAAGTTCCCGACAACACCACGTCCAACAGCGATGCGAAACGCAGGGCGTGCTCTTTGCCGACGCCCCTCGGTGCGTGGCAGCTGCCGTACAACTCTCACAACGACGACTACGACTCGTGGTACTCGTCCATATACCAGGGATGCTCGCTTGCCGAGCTCCCCAAGACACTGTTCCGGATCGCACAAGGCATTCAGTACGTCAAGGTGGCACAGAGCACTCTCGGCGTCGGCATGTACTTGTCCAACGTGGCCGTCCTACAAGACGCAGCATCCAACGACGCGGCGAGGACCATTTACAACTTGGCCGGCACCGAATTTGTCGCACCGCGGTACACCGTAGGCGCCACCGTCGCCATTAGCTTGCTCATCAGCATGCAGGCCATTGCACTGATCATCCTCGTCTGCTACATTTACAGCCTGCCCACCTGGACCGACACCTTGGACGCCTTTGCCATGATGAGGCTGGGAGCACACTTGAGAGACTCGGTGGACTTTCCACTAGTAAGCCGGGCCAGTCGGGAGGAGATGGGGGTGTTGGATGAGACGGATGGACTGCTCGGCGTCGTCGTGCGGGGCGCTGCGGGTAGGTCAGAGGAGGACCTCGAGCTCGCCGCCCTAGCTTCGTCCAGCACCGCGCAAAGGAATGAGACATCTGCGCATCAGTATGCGAGTGTGAGCCCGCTATCACCGGCGAGCACGGTCGATCAAGACCCATCGGCCCCGGCCACCCAAACGAGCCATGTGGTGGACGCCACTAGGCCTGGGATGGACACTAGCGAGCTGAGCGAGTACCTCCAAGGCGCCCCGCCGGCGTCCCCCACGACAACAACCACCACTACAACGGTGTCTTCCCCCCGAAGCCCGTCGCCGCCCCCGCCATACCTGCCGGCGAGATCGTCCAACAGAGGCCAGCCGGTGAGGGGGCCGTTTGAGCTGGGGCTGGGAGCCCCTGGGCTCATTACAAGAGCGTTATGGGAAAGGTACAGACCGAGGTAGAAATGCATAGGGAGCACACGGGAAGGAAATGTGTGTAAACGGAGTTTTGTTTTGTCACATCTATTTTGATACCCACAGAGAAGAAACATTTTCATCAATACTATATCACCAAGTCTCCGGAATGGAGCGTCACTCTACACTGGTTGTTCGAGACCGCTATCGTGAAGAAAGGGAACCGACGCCAGCGCCACCACGGACGCCGGGCTAAGAAAAGAAGTCTAACTTGTAAGTCGAGCGATCGCCGGCGCGGTTCTGGACCCCGCGAATGTGGATCCCCCGTTCTAGCTCCGTCTAGCCCGCCCTGCCACCGATACAGAAATGCTGAGAGTTTCAGGCGGGAGGGTTTTTAGCAACCTCCAAAGGTCGTGCGTTTTGCTGTTTGTTTGGTGGTTGAAAGAGGTACCGCTAACCTGGGAGCTAGCCCAGCTATCCTGCGCTTTAACCGTATCGGGAGAGCTCCCTGCGTCTCAGCTGGCCCGTTTTGGCAACTTTGGGTGGGTTGCTCCGGCACGCCACATTGGACTGGCATACACTTTTAGACGCGGCGGCGCGTGAAGAGGGAGGGATGGGGAGGGGGAATAGAGTCTGCGACGGCCTCGCTGGTAGTCGGAGGATTGCGTTCTTGGTAGTGGAACGATTTGTTGGACTACTTACGAAGCTTCTTTGCTAGTAGAGAGGAGATTGTAGGCGGTAATATTTTCTCACGTCCCTTGCTGTGGTGGTTGGTATGCGATTTTTCGATAGATGGTTGGGTCCGCATTCCACGATACATTCTTCAATCTTCTCGCCACCTTGGAAGGGCCATTGTTTTTCTCTTGCTTATCTTTTCTGGTAGCGTCTTTTTGTTTTGGCCAGGGCTGGCGATCCCCCACGCGAGGAATGTGCTGTGACGAAAGTCTGTCCCTGGCTCAATTGCCATAATCCTGAATCAAACAACGGGCTCATCCCGAGATCCGGATCACATCACCACAGGCTGTATACCCTTCCTACGCAACTCCTGCTCAAGCATCTTTGGCATGGCACTGAGTCTGTCACACGCCCACCACGTGGGTTCCTCGTCGTCCTCCCCGAGAAGCAATCGCGAGGTCTCATAAAAGTGGTACAATACAAGCAGCGCCCTCGGGTCATTTGCGACAATCATGTCGAGGAACGGGCCGAAGCAAAACAGCGGGAAGGCGAGGACGTACCGCTCGAGGTCGGGCGTCGCGGGGGGCTGGCGATTCGTGCTGCGGTGTTGCCAGAGGGCCATGATGACGGACAGCCGCTCCACGATGCCGGTGAAGGCGGCGCGTTGACGGTCCGCGTTGCTGTGGTGCTCCGGGGTGGTGCGTTGGCCTCTGGGTGTCATCTCATCGTATCGATCTAGAAAGGCTCTCTGGATCCGGCCGCGATCCATGCCCTGTTCCGCTACGATCTTGTCGAGAGCGTCGCACGGGGCGTCCTGCCATGCCTTGGCAAAGATGCTGTCTTGGCCCTGCGCCCGGGTCCCGAAGAGGAAGACCCTCACGCCGGAGCTGAGAAGGAAGAGTTGGTCCCGGGACTGGTCTAGAGTGGTGTCGGTGTTGTCAGAGCCATCGATGAACTCCAGATTACACCAAGTGAGATAGTGTATAAGCTGCGCCGTGAAGAAGAGAGAGTCGTACCCTCCCCCAGCCCCGTCGTCACGGCCGAGTTCGGCGCCAAAGAGCGCGCAGCTGCGGGACAAGAGAGCCAGGCTCGCTTCCCCGTAGACGGCGTCTTCTAGAGTGCTGAGGTGCCGCGCCGAGACGGCGAGGATGGCCGTCATGAGGTACTCTGCCCGGAAGGCCAGCGGAAGGACAGACACCCAGACGTCGGCGAAGCAGAGGGTGGGGATCGTCGCATGCTGGAAGTGGTGGAGGAGCTGCATGTGGAGGAGGTTCACGCGTCCCGAGGCGTCTACCGGCCGTGCCGGTCCCGTGCCGACGGCGGCAGCGGCGGCGGGCGATGAGGACGACGTCGTCTCTGGGGCGGAGGACTTTTGCGGGCGTGTGCATGGTTCGTTGCGGCGGATGCAGTTCGCGCAGGGGGCTGATTCGTCGCACTGGATCCCGTGTAAGTCTTGTGAGTCTGGGTGACCTCGACTGAGAGACATTGGGACCAATTACCTTCACCTTCCTCCTTTTGCATGGTATGCAGCCTCCTCTGCTCTTCCTGTGAGCCTTTTTCTTCTTTGGCTCTGGGTCAGCGGGATCGATGAAGCGGAGGGTCAGAGGCGTGGCGTCTGGGGAGGTGGAGGGGTTGGATGCTGGCATCGTCGAGATCGTCCCGTGTAGTGGTTCAAAGGGGGTTCGCAGGGGAGGGATGAAGTGAGAGTTTTGAGCACCGATGAGCCAGGAAATTCATTTAGAATGAGATGATTGCCCATTTGGCTAGAGAAGCTGTCGACAGGCTGAAGCTGAGTGAGTCTGCTCCGTGGCGGAGAGTCCACGAGTGAGATGAAATCAGACAGTAGGCGGAACCTCGCATTCCGAAAAGGGAATGCGATGGAAGCGGGTCTGGTAGCGGAAATGGTTTAGCTCGCTGCAGTAAAGTAGGGGTCCTTGACCCATGACGTCATTACAACGTGCGAGACCACCTCTTTACTGAAATGAAGCTATCGCGAAATTTGATGTACCGGTTGGACATGATTTTGGTGTATGTGGTCCATTCATAATATGGACTCGTTCCACCAAAGAGGTTGCTCGCCTGAATCTAAACCAATGTGCACCCGAAGCCTCCAAGACATAACGGTTCTCAATGAGATCAAAGATGATGGGTCTTTGCCTAGATTAAGATTTGCAGTCATCTTGGGTCACATTGGACGGGCTGATAATCACCGGAGATACATGAGCTCAATTCTATGACTCTGGACGCCCATGCCCAGGATGCTTGTCCTCAACGTCCCTCACATTCTTCCCGTCTGTATTCATTGAGCATAATCTAAGGGCCGCTAGATACTGCTCGTAATTGAATTCATCTTCGCAAGACAGGCCAGTATGGAGGTTCACGAAAATATAGCCCAGCCATCGTCATCAATCGGAATGGAGTCACCTACACTTGCACCGAATCCTCCGGTACAGGATCATACGACAACCTCAACGGGGACCACCGCCTCTCCCAGTCTCACGTTCAAAGGCGACCTCATCATTCTGCCAAACCCTCTAGCCCGCATCAGCCCTACGTGTGCATCAATCGCGGACCCAAGCCAACACACCCTCCACCTCTTCGCCGACGCCTCGTTCCCCGGACACAACTGGCACAAGGGCCCCTCGACGCCGTCCGCGCCAGCAGGCGCCGCCGTCTTCTGGAAGCCGTGGCCGTGTATAGACCCCGCCGACCCGTGGCACTCCCGCGCATTCCAGATCCTCGCATGCCACAACCCCTGCCAAGCAGAACTCTTCGCCGTCGTCGCGGCGCTCGAGACGGCGACGCTGCTGGCCCACCTGATGCCGGACCTGAGATGGGTGACGGTCTTTTCCGACTGTCAAGACGTCATGAACACGCTCGCCGCAGCGGAGGGTTCGTACCCCAGCGCCTTGGACCCCCTCGTCAAACGCGCCTTTGAGGCGTGCGGCTCTCTGCGGGATAAGAGGAATATCGGGGTCGCTGTGTGCTGGTGTCCCGGCCACGTCGGTATCCTTGGCAACGAAAAGGCCGACGAGCTCTCCAAGGAAACCCGACGGTACAACTTTAGGCATTTGGTCCCGGAAGAGCAGCCCACGCGCGTGAGCGGGTATGAGATTCCGTCCAAGTATCTCGAGAGGGCGCGCCGCGGGCACTGGTGGAAGGATGAGGCTGACTTTGAGTGGACGGCGAATATGCCTCGCAAGCGGTTTTATCCGGTGGCTGCCAGTAGAGAGTGCGACGAGGAGGCCTGCGAAGAGGCAGACGACGAAGAGGCATCTGATGAAGCTTACGAAGATGAGGACTACGACGACGAAACTTGCGATGCTGAAAACTACGATTATGAAAACTACGATTACGAAGAATACGATTATGACGCCGACGACGAGTTCTCCGACGGCGAGACATCTTCACGCACGCTCTCGCTGTGCAGCTACTCGTCAGCCACGCAAAGCCAAACAAGAAAGCGCAAGCATTCGGCGCCAGGCCTACTAGAGTATCCCTGCAAGAAACAAAGGACAGGCCGACCCGAGCACGGCACCAAGCAGTCGAGGACACTGGAAGGGACTCGAACTCCAGTCTGAGGTCGCTCGTCATACTCTCAGAAGTTGGCGGTAGTACCAAGAAGCACACTGTTATTGGTCTCACCTTGTGGAAATCTCCACAGCTTTTGAAACCTCCACAACTGAGAACCCCCCAGCTAGTCGCTCCGTTAGCAGACGTATCGATATGTGTTGACATGTAAGCCTCGAGCCCAATTGGTACGTGGCAGACAGACTCACTCTGTAGATAGGTAAAGAGCAGTAGCAGGATACATGTCACGTCCCATGCCGGCAAGGATCTTTGGTGAGGAGCTTCGCCATCCTAGGCCCAGATTCGGGCGAAGATCGCAGCACCCAGACTGATCGATAGAAAAATACATCACCAGGGCTCGCAACTCACTTGGTAACAATATTAAAAAAGCCATCGTCATCAAAATGATTCTTTTGGAGAGTCTATAATCCTGGCCCCATGTAGTGAATATGCAGAGACCACATGCGCCGTCCGCCCAGATACAGCCAGCCCGCCCAATGCTAAATGGAAATCCTTCACCAACGTCGGGCCATGCTGTGTGTGGCACGACACCCTTTTCGATTGCTCACAAAAAAACAACACCGCTTTTTCTTTGTTTCAGCCAGGCCCGTTTTCGGCTCGTAAAACTCCAACCATATCTAACTGTGAGGGGGAGGGGGGGAATCGGCTCACACAACCCGCGCGCCAGCAGTGTCCCTTGTATCGTCGTGTCTATAATTACAGTTAAGAAAAGAAGACGGAGACTGCCTACAGTGGCAGCCCGCAGTCGATCATTAGCAGGGTGCTCTGCCTATTTACGCCGCCTCGTCTTGGGAGCGGGCGCGGGCTCGGGCGACGGCTCCACGGCCTGTCGCTTCTTGGCCGTCTGCTTCTTTGGTCTCGGAGGCGGCGGCGGCTCCGAGTGGAGATGGCCGAGCTCCTCCATGGCCGTGGAATTCTCCCACGCGAGGCAGCGGTAGTTTGTGGGTTCGGGCGTCGGCTCGTGCTGACGGCCTCTGGTGCTCATGCGCTTCGAGTCGCGCCTCTTGCCCTTCTTCTCCTTCTCTTCCTTTTCCTTCTCCTCCTCCTGCTGTTGCTGCTCCTCGGGCTCCGCGGCGGCGAGGTATGTCTTGCGGTTCTCCATGTGCTGAACAATCTTGTCCCGGAACGCCACGATCTCTTTCCGAAGTCGCAACTCGTTGAAGCCCCGCGGATCCAGCCACTTGAGGAGCTCATCGACCTGCTCCGGCTCGCTATAGTAGCCCCACTGATGGGCGTTGAAGACGCTGGTGGGGCCCTCTTCCAACTTCTTCCGCTCCGGCACCGTCATAGAAAACTTGGTTTGGTACTCGGCCTGGTACTCGGGGTCGGTGTCAATGTACCCTTGGCGCTCCAGCTCGTCGGGGCCTTGCACCCATATGCAACCGTTGGCGTACTCGGCGGCAGCGGTTGAGCTATCCGGGAGCCCCCCGTACGGCATGCCGTTGCGTTCGAACCAGTAGTACCGGTTCCAGAATCGGTCCTTACCCAAAACACGGGTCCGGCCACAGTCGGCTTCGCGGAGGTCGTTGTCGATCACGGCGATCTCGTCTTCGCACTTTTTGATAAAGTCCTCCTTCTTCTGGATATCCTTGAGGACCTTAAGGAACTGCTTCGACTGCTTGGGTGCCTTTGCGGCTTCGGCGGCCTTTTCTTTCCGCTCGAGCTCCTCCTTACGCTTGCGTTGCCTCTCCGCGGCGCGGTCGTTGGCACGGCGGAAGTTCCTGCGGGGTGCTCCCTCCTCGTCAGAGTCGGCCACTTCGTCCTCGGCGTCGGCGGCGTCAGCTGCCGACTCGTCTGCGTCCGTCATCTTGACATCCTCGTCTGCCTTTGGCTCGGGAGGCGGCGACGGCGGCATGTTGTCGGGGAGCATCATCTTGCGCTGGTCGTTGAGAGCACGCAGTTCCTCGATGCTGTTGGGGGGTCAGTAATGCCTTCACCAAAACGTCTAGTGTCACCTACGCCTGCTTCCTCTGCCGCTGCCAGTCAATTTTTTCCTTGCGGAAAGCCGTCATTTGCTCGCTGCATTCTTCCATGTAGGTACGCATCGCTTTGGTCTGCGTTGTGAGCATGCAGATGATCTGCAGCGCCTGAACACGGTAGTTGACGTCGAGTCGAGCATAGTGCTCCTGCACCGTCTCTTGGGTAGGGTCCTCGTCGGGGGGACATAGCTGGGCGAGCAAATCCTCGCACTGCTCCTCCATCCTCTCATTTTTGGAGAGCTGGTGCAGCAGACCGACGACGATTCTCTCCCAGCCGCCGTTTTGGAACTTGCGTTTCCTGAGCTCCTCAATCCAGTCGTACTCTTCAAGGAGGTCCTCGGCGCGGTGCTTGATCTCGGGCTCCGCATTCTGGCTTTCCTTTTCCGCTGCCCTCGCCTCGGCCAGCAGCCTCTCGGCCTCGGCTTTGGCGAGACTGCTTCGTGTGGCTCTTGCAGGCGGCCGATCGGTTTCCGGGGTCGGCTCCTTGGTCTCCTCCTCATCCTCGTCTTCCTCAGAGTCCTCCTCTTCGTCCTCTAGCTCGGGCAGCTGGACGTTCACCTTGCCGCCGTCTGCCTCGGCACTCACAATCTGCTTGAGCACCGCACAGTGGATTTCCTCAAACAGCTGGACCTTGGTCTCCTCTGATGCTACAGACATGGCCTCCACAAAGTCGTCAAACGTAAACGAGTCGAGCTTGAAAATTTCGCAGTACACATTCAGGGTGTCCCACGTCTCCAAGAATGAGCCAATCGACTTCATCGACAGCTTGTCGCGTATGCTGGCGTTGCCATTCACGGCCACATCGGAGGCAGTCGGGGGGTCGTTGCAGAGGAACGCCAGTGCGGGTCTGACGACGCCCTCTCTCAGAGGCACCTGGAGATCCTCAATGGGGTACTTTGGCGGTGGCGGCGGCGGCGGTGGCTCGGGCGCAGTCATGGAGTGCGGTAGCGGTTGATTCCGGAAGTTGAGCGGCAGCTGGAAGGGGTTCTTGTGCGGCGGGGCGTGGAAGATGCCGGCCTCGGAGGCCATGTTTGGCGAGCCATTCTGGCCTTGAGGGAACTCTGGCGATTGATGCTTGCCCTTTTGGCCCTTGAATGCGGGCTTCAGCTCGGGTAGCCGCGTAGGGCCGTTCTGGATGGCGCCGTTGACGCCGTTGGTGCCGTTGCCGTCCTGCGTCGGAGTCTGGCTGGCGCGCTTCTGGGCCTGCAGCTGCTTCCTCTCCATCAACTTGGTATCGTAGCGTAGGTGAGGCGGGACCCGGGAATCGATGTGGTACTGTGCCGCCACATCGTGCTTCACGAGCCACGGCGCTCCGTTCCATGCCTCACGCGTCACCGTCTTCTTGATGAAGGAGCGCAGAACCGACTTTGTAAATATTTTGCGATCGCGGAAAATATGGTCATCGTCGACCACGGCCTCGATCCCGGGGCGTTCCTCCAAGCTGACCGTATAGCGTGTGTAGGGGGCGGTCTGGGTGCCGTCTGGCAAAATCTTGCCGCCGAACCGGGTCTTTTCTCGCACGACGCCCTGCAATCTCTCGCTCTCCGCCGTGCTGACGGTCACGGCCTCGCCCGGGTAGTAGTCGGCTCTAAACTCGTCAAACACCAAGTCGACAAGCGCATCGATTCGGGACACCGTTTGGAATTGGACGCGACGCAGGACGGGGCCCTTGAGAGCTTCGGGAAACGCTTGTTCCACCTCCTCGGCACCGGCGAGCTATTGCCATGTCAGCAGGTTTGCGCGGTAGTGGAAGATGGCGGGACGCACTTCGCTCTTGAGTGCTTCGAAAAAAGTCAGGCCTGAGTGTCCTGTGATCTGGCAGATGAAGCGCCGCTACGCGCTGGGGTTAGTCTTGGCCCGTAGCCCCACCTGGCCTGGGACGTACCTGTTTGTAGAAATCCATTCTTCACCGCATTAGCTGAAGCCGAAAAGGAAACAAAAAAGTGACGACAAAAAAAGCTCACCTGGTAAGATAATCCTCATATTGGGCAAAGACCTCGCCGGTCTGTGGGATATGCCAGACCTGAGAGCCTGCATCAGTATTCGTCGCATTATTTGTGAATGTCACTCTGCGAACCTCTGAATTATCATCCTTGACGTCCTTGGGGGCTAGAAACTGCACCGGTTTACGCTTGAAGAGAACCTATACCTCCAGTCAGCGATCTGCGATCCCGGAGAGCGCGTCGGGAGGCCGTACCATGTTGGCGGTTGGCTACAATGGCATGGCCCAAGATTCGAGGATCCGATTGCGCGGTGGGGCTGAAATCCAGCCAACCTTGTCTTCAACCGTACAAGTGGTCCTATAAAACCTCGAGGACCATTTGCTGGGCAAAGGAAACGCGTTGTGGCGGTCTGGCGGGTGTGTTGTGGTCGCGGCCGGAGCGAGCGGAGGCGCGGTCGTGGGTGTTGGGCAGGGGGAGGACGGGTCGGCGGGTGCACTTACACGCGAGACTCGCGGGGGACGCGGTGCGGCTCGCAGATGACGTGTCGGAGATGGCTGTATAAATGACGGTATCGATGGTTCGTGGTTGTGGTCGCGGGTTGGTGAGAAAACGCGCAGCCTGCGAGTCGTGGGTGAAACGACGGGGGAAAAAAACAAAAGGTGGGAAAGGAAGTGGTGAGCCTTGGGGGGGGAGGAGGAAAGGAAAGGGAAAAAGAGAAGAAGGGCGCCAGTGAAAAGCGGTCCTGGCCCGCTTGGCCCGTTCGGCCCACGGTGCCTCCGCATCCCATCTCCCAGGCGCCTGCGCACCAGGCCTCCTTACCCTCCTCCACCCGCCACGACTCCGTCCGCCTCGGGAATCCCACAACCGCGTCGGCCACCCGCGAATTTGTACTCGTTGGGCTCGCCATGGCTGGGGCTTTCGATTGAGCACTCAACTAGCCATGGACACCACGATTTGGTCGATTAATGCCGTGATATATCTTGCACGTCTTCCGGTCCTGGCGGGTAGCCTAATTTTCGTTAATTGCCTCCTCGGGGCCAGCTCCGGATGAGCACCGTTCTACCACCA